TACACCGTGCGCAAGAGTCGTGTTTTGATCTTTTCAATATGCATCGTTACTGATCGAGTTGCTGGCAACGAGAACTGGACGCATTGTATACGCCAGATGAACTCATTCTCTCCCTTCGCGGATCCATTAGAACCGACGGTTGCCCTAACGGACTAAACCCTCGTACTCAATGGGTACCCTTGAGTGAGTGACAAACGAGGAGCTCAGTTCGGTTATCAGATGTAGGTTTTATATACTTCAAGCTGTGCCAGCATACTTAGACGCGTCAGATAGATAACTTGGATGCAGAGCCAAATAAGTCCCCAAAATCAGTAGCCTAGGGTAGTGCAAGAATCATCTTCGATGCTGGTCTTCTTCGTTTCAATGGACAGGCTAAGCTGACGGACCACGGCTTAGCTTTCACGCCACTTGATGCATGAGCGTGTTACGTAGCACTGCTTGTTCTCTGTCGGTTAGCCAGTCATTCGAAGGGCATCTGTACTTCGGGGCAGTTTATTTCTACCTGGCTACCCTATTGTGTTTTTCCTTCGTCTCACGCTCTCAGGTATTCTATTCTGTGAAGAATTAGTCAATGTCTGCCATGTCTCTGAAGTTCACATAAGGATATTTCCAAAACTGGTGAGCTCGTCCCACTTTGTACCCATGCATTCAGTAGCTTCTATCTCTAGTCGCTGTTTCCATGCCCACCATTGGTATATATTTACTGAGCGATTGCGACACGCTGGTGGCTGCCCGTAATCGACAAATGATAGATATTAACACTGTTACCTTCTGAGGAAGCCATTCTGGTAGGTTCAAGTTTAGTCGCAGAGAGAATAACTCAGCCATCATAACCGAATAAATGGTCTGAAAATCCTTCCTGGGCACTCCTTATGGCAGTATAACCATTTTCTTGAATGTCTTCCCTCCTTTTGTCGACCTTGTCCTTTGCTGCTGACACGCGTAATACTATTGCGTCGGTCGTTTGTCTTGTTTAACATTCATCATTTTTTAGAGTGATTTATCCTTAATGCCCAACTTCGTTATTATGCGACGCCGAACTGTTGACAGAATGACGTTACTGTTACCGGCACTTTGCTCGCCCCAACTCAAAGTCACGCCGTGAAGTGACTCTGATTATTCACTTGAAAAGTTCATTTTTCGATCTGACTCTTGTAGACAGAATTTTGATCCCTTTTTTGGAACATTCTTGTTAATGCTAGGGTAACTAGCAGTTACATTTGGATAATCAGTTCTCGCAGTATACTATCTATTTGTCACAGAGAAATCTCTGGGCTGCATAGTTGCCCAGCTGTTTTGCTGGGGTACTTTTATGATTTTCGTATAACTCGTTACTGTCTAACGGTACCACAGATTTATCATATCAAAGTCATGCTTCGATGTTGACTGGGAGTGACTTAACGAAGCTTGGGAAACTATGCTTGTCCTAGAATGTTGAATTTTTTCCTGCGCTCATACAGAACTACTCCAGTTTCGGCCATAATGGTCGTTTCCTTCTATCAGACATTATCGGTAAGTTACACTGAACTGACGCAACTGACGCATGCTCCGCCATGTATAACCGGCAATGTTATGCTTACCACATCACGACACGAAGCTACCCGTGACATTCAAAGCACGACGCGTTTTTCCTGATGAGCTTAAAATATTGATAAACAGCTTCGATGACCCGCCTACACTAAGTATTGGCGTTGTGACTTGGAGGTTTGTCGAGATCTTTCATGCATTTCAGGTTGGTATTTACCATGACCTGGCATCACCCTCAGAAACGATGGAAACCTGGGGGCACTGGAGAGCCCTTATGTCCTAGCACGGGACCATCCATCAGTTTCCAATAACGGCATTGGATGGAGGTCGAGTGATATCGTGAAGTAACAGAAGTATAAATATGGACAATCAGATTCCGATCTAGCTGTTCAGTTGTAACATGCTGTCTTCAGAACCTTAGGGCCCTGCGTTCTATCCGTTGCCAAGCGGGGTCATGGGTGCACTGGTGGGGACGAAACAGATGTCCACCGCCCCCGGGTTTTTAACAGTTCTCCAACCGACGTCAGTCCATGACGAATACCAACCTTGAACTGGAAAGTTCTCAGGTATCTACATCGCGTAACGTTTTGCTAACAGGCTGCGACGAGTGGCGTCCTACTGGTGGTTACCGATGGATTACCAGCAAAACAACCCCCAGTTGCTGCATGGGTCCTCATATCTACGATTCGGCTGCTCTTGTATGTGGAGTGGGCATATTTTCGAAGGTCGACCTGGTCAAACTCTGCAGCTGACGACATGTGCCCATTTATCCATGGATAATAAGGGGCATGTATTAGCGAGGAAACATTTCTGTAGTCGCTGACCCGCCGCAGTGTGAAATATCTCGGAAACGGCCACTGTTACACACTTTGGGCCATTTGAATTTCTGAGCATGCGCTATGGTCTTCGGGCAGGTTTCAGACTCCCACCAGGGTCTGAGGGATACATTCATCTTTTCATCCATGCGGCCCGCCTAGCGAGATGGCCACAAGTAGTACCTGTTCAAAATATTGCCTCTGGAACTATCGATAGTGTTATCTTCGAAAGACGGTCAAGGAAGGTTGAATGTCCACCCTGCTCAAGGACCAGCCGTGAGTGCCAGTTTCGTCGAGGATTATGCAATTTTTAAGTGCATTTTGGGCCACAGTTAGAAACAGACAACAAAACCTAAAACGGCAGCTTGTTAAATGACATGGATAGTCGCCCATTCACCCTCAGCATGATACTTTTTAGACTGTCAATAGCAGCAAGATATAGGGTCTGTTGAGTAGACGCGGTAAAGGGCGGCCCAGTGCAGTGATGCATCCACTGCCAATATTCGGTGGTGTAACGAAGTTCTAGGAATGCGATACGCAGCTGATGAACACAAAAACTTCATCAAACGAAGTGTTTAAGAAACTTTCAAGACTGAGAATGGGGAAATCTCTGGGCTGTGAAGATACTAGGCTGGTGGTCTTGCATGACTGCGCCGAAATGTTTATCATGCCCGCGTGCAATCTGTTCACACACCCGTCGGAAGTAAGCCAACTCCCAAAGAACAGGATCGTGCCATCCTCTCACCAACCTTCGACGGAGGAGACCGGAAAATTCCACACAATTACAACCCAAAAGCGTTTCCTCGCATCCCAAGGTGCTGGGAAGCCTGGCCTCAGAAGTCGGTTGTGACTGCTTAAATGGACACAGCGTCGCTCATCTCAGTCCACATGGCTTCAAAACCGGACGGCCATGTGCCACAACCTTGAAGACCGTTCGGGTCTGCTGGACCACCAAATTTGATGACAAGTACCTGGTGCACGTTATCTTTCTGGACTTGGCCAAAGCTTTCGATGGTGTCCCACGCTACACCATGCCTGCTAAACTTGAAAAATTGGGATCACCGAACCACCCTTAGCATGGTGTACAGCATATCTAAAGGATAGGGAATTCTGGGCCAAAGTGAGCAGGATTCCACCAGTCCGAAAGAGTTAAGAACAGAAGTCTCTCAAGAAGCTATTCTCGGGCTACTCCCACCTTCACCACTCATCGGTGACCCTCCCGAGGGTCCTGGAACCGCCCAAGGGGATCTGCTGCTGCTGGAACCCCGGCCGCTTGAGAATGGTCAGAACTTTAACCTAGAGAAGGGAGCCTTGGTGCATCTTCGCACCCTGAGGGCAATGAAAACCAACTACACCCTCGACATGTGTGCAATCACTGGGGCACCTACAGAGAGGAACCCGGGACTTAATTTCTCTGGCACGCTGGAAACTAGTGCCAGCTATAAGAGAATGGCGACAAAGGCGAACGCCATCGTACACTTTCTAAGAAGGTGGCTCGGGGTGCCGACTACAGAACTGTTCTTTACGCCACTTACATACCTAGGGATACCTAACACGATCGCCCTCCCCCTACTAAAGAGAGATATGAGCACTCTTTAGAAGGTACCGAGGAGGGCTACGAGGTCGGTTATCAGACTAACAAGTTAAACATATGCGCAACGCCTTAGACAGCTCAACTTATATTCATCAAGCTATCAAAGGAAAAGAGGTGGCCTAATGACAACTTGCACAATCATTCAACAAGTGGTTCACCTAAATAGGTCAGCATTATAGGCCCAAAGGCGACAATCCCGTGGAAACAAGGGCCACGCACATCACCACAGGGCGAAGATGAGAGTGAGATCGAACTGCTTCTTACATAGAGTGTGTGCCTTGTGGAGCTCTCTACAGAAGGAAGCACCTACGGTGACATCAGCTGACTTTCTCGGACGACTGCCGTAAAAGTACGTGAGCGCAGACGGCGCACTACGAAACCTCGTCAGCAGCAACTGAAGGTATGCTCATCCACCCCTGTATTTTCCAACCCTGGTATCTGCAACAAAGAGCGTCCCTGCCCTATATTATTACCAGTAACACGTATTTTTTCGTAGATGCCCTTCAATACTCTTTTCCTCACTCCCCACTCGCCCAATTTCCAGCACCTTTTAAGTAACACTTAATGCCGACTTGTAAGTGCTTACAAAAACAGGAATTACCAACGACTAGCCGATCTTATCAGTAGCTGTGTTACCCCTGAAAACAAGCTAATCTGCAACTTGCAAGAAAAACTACCTCTAAATGGACCATCACTACCTCCAGACCTATAAGCAGGAAAACGTAAAAACGCCTGCTACCTACGAAGAAGTGTAACCGAACAAAAAGAACCGAGATTCAAGACCTGGAGACGAGAGCCCAGAAGCTGCAAGTTTCCTCCACTTTTACTCCTCATGTTGGATGTTGTTGTTGGGTATGCAGATCAGGACCAATTTGATTGGAAAATTATTGGTGAACACTAACTTCTGATGAGCTGAAACTTATATATTTACTACGAGACAGTCTTTTTCACCAGTCTCCTCGTATGCTACATTTCAGTATTAAGAAAGCATCGCGTTTGTTGTAGGGGGGTTTATGATAACTGTTGCTAATTCCGACTACCCACCCTTGGACATTTAACCCCTGGTTGAGTTGGAAATACGGTGTGGGAGCTACATGGTTTCGGGACGTATTGTTGGCGTTCTCGCGTTCGGTCTTGGATTCCTGTGTGGCTACTATTTTCATATCCTCCACTTACGATACCTTCGCAAAAAGCAAAGTTTTTTTCAAAACCGCCTCAAGGACGTTGAGGAGAAACTCAGAAGTTACTGAAACTTAGATGATCATTTGCTATAAGTGTGTAAATGTCTTCTCACTTAAAGGAAGATTTGTATGGTATTTCCTGGTCAAACCCAGCATGGAGCCATTTCCTGTGCTCGGCAAATATTCTTGACTATTTCTGTGATCTCTCAAACCCCTTTTACGATAGACAGTGCAATAATGAAGTTATTCGTATGCAGAGGCTCCATCCTGAGCAACTGTTATGTATGACAGGTGTTGAGTTTTACCTTCATCATTCCCAAGTAAGTTGTGTGCTTTGGTGAACTATCCAGTACTTTTTTTCAATACAAAGTTTAATTTATGATTCATACTCAGGTAACATGTTCATCTATGTAGATGAGTAATAACAAATGGAAATAAATTTTAATTTGGGAATTACAACTGTTAGATTCTGCATCATATTTTCCTGGTCCAACAGCTCCTAGCTGATCTTTAACGGGCAACTCAAGCGTTTTGAAACCTCTAAGTGTTCTCTTTTTTACTATGGAATTGCTCTGGGGATTTTGTCATTGAGGTAAGTGCTAACATCCAAATATTCTAGCCGGAATTATTCTAAAGCGAACTCGTTTCATACTATATTCCCAAGTAGTACACGTATTTAAGTTTTACTGAGTCATCTAAAGAGGGTTGTGAGACTGCATAAGACATTTCCCAGTAGTATTTAAGTGCCAATGTGTATTCGAATATCTGGCATTGTATGGAAGGTTGATTGATGTGTTGACCATACTTCAGCAGGTTAGGTGAAAGCTAAATCTGTGACCCACTGGTTGAGTTGCCTGCCTAGTTGAGTAGGTCGCAGTATTCGAATATGTAACCTGAAGTTGGCACATAAATCCAAACAACTATCGGATTCCTAGTATCTACAGTATATTTTGGGGAACTGTGTATCGAAATGGTTATTGTATGTCTTGTGTGCTATTTCGCTGAATCTACTCTCTCATTTTGAACTATTCATTGACCGATTCTGACAAAATAAACGTAAAACCTCGCACACATGTGCATTGACTCAAGTTTAAACACTTCATTGTAGTGCACAACGAATAGGTGGATAGAAAAAGAGTGATATCAAAGTAAGTAGATAAAGTGGTGTAAGAGGATAAGCAATCTAAAGATTAAGGTTAGTGGAAATATTGAAGTTTTAGATGTCAGGAAGTAATCAGGTCTGCGCCACTGCGACTGATTTTCAAGCATGTCAGCAAGAGTCCTCAATCACTGATTCTTTTCATCTTGGGGACCCCAACCAGGTAGTCTACGTCGCCCCCACATGAATCAGAACAACACCGACAGACTTCTTCAACTGGTACCAGGTCTCTGTCTGGCCACCCTAAATCCTCTTTCAATCTAACCCAACTTTCCCCAACATTGCACGTCGAGGTAGGCATTGGCTCAGCAGTACATGTCTAGGCCACCTCAGTCGGTCATGGTTCACAACCTCATCAATCAACTTTCTGTATTGTCTAGTACCCTTCGCCTGACCTCAGCATTACTCACATGGTGATCCCACCAAACGCAAGCAATGCTGCGAAGACACGTGATCGAAACCCTGTAGTTACTTCATGTCTTCTACTTTATTGGCTGTCTCACACCAAGACACAACGAACTACAGTTCAGTATAGTCATCTTTTTGATAGATGGTCGAATATCTCGCCAGTTGGCCCCACAGATGACCCAAGTTGGCGAGTGATAAGTGAACCTTCTGTATCCGGGCTAAGATTTCATCAGCAACCAGCCCGTTTGAGCTGATGCAGCTTCCCAAGTAAGTAAAGTGGTCGACACTTCCACCACTTCACTCTCTATGAATAAAATTAGAGTGGCTGCAAAGCAGTACCAAAGTATCATCTTACATTTAACGCATGTCAAACATGCTCAGATTTCTGCTCAAAGCTTTCAAAAGAACCTGCATTTTGCCAGCATCTCTACCCAGCAGAATAATATCGCCTGCATATTGCAAGTCAACCAGATGACCTCGAGGAAGTAGGTCAATCCCTGTGAAGTCAGATGTACCTATTTTTATGTTTATTAGTACGTCTATGACAAAGTCAAATAGACGGTGACAGTGGACATCCCTGGTGAATACCACTCGTCGTCGATTCACATGAATGCTTTCCATAAACCTTTACACTGCTGCGTGAATTCTAGCATAGAGCTTTGATAAAGATTATATACTTTCTTGGTACTCCCTTCACAGTCAGACACTGCCACAGCATTTCACTGTCGAAAGAGTCTAATACCGCCTTCAGGTCAAGAAATATGGCATATGACGGCCACTGGATGGTAGATAAGCCTGTGTTGCAGAACCTATCAGAGCGTGAAAATGTGATCGATGCACCCTGCTCCAGGTCTGAAACCTGTCTGATTTCCTTGAGCTCAAGTTAGACGCCAGGATCTTAGATCTTGGACACAGTTTTAGTTAAACTGTGGTTTTCATAAGATTTCTCTCCTTTCTTACAAACTCTGATGACCAGTGAAGCACATCAGCATGACGACGCTACCTCTGATTGCCTTACACTACCTAGTACCCCCATCACTTTAATTAGCAATTTCCTACGTTGATCTTTGAGGACTTCAGGTGGCAAACTGTCAGGTCCTACTGCTTTGGATTGTTTCAGGTTCCATACAGCTTTCTCAACTTCAAGGAGAATGAGAGAGCTTAGATCTTCGTTCCATTCAGGTCCAGGTTGGATGTTGGGCAACTGAAGCGTTACTAAGGGCCAATTGGACTGTATTTCAAAGTGTTCTCCTTAACATTCTAGCCGCCTGTGTTTGGAGGTTTTCGGTAGTGGTTTCACTCACCATCGTCTTCTGCTTGCTATCATCCTTGAAAAGCCCTAATAGTTTCCGAGTGTTACGTGACTCTAATGCCTTCTTCATCTCTCTTGCTTTCGTCGCCCACCACTGCTCACGATCGACTCGAAGACTGTCGGTCAATTTACGTTTGAGTTGCTTTCTCTGTTCATCGTGGTCAGAGCCAGCTGGAATCAATCTTCTTGCATTAATCAGTTTGGATGACGTGGCGGAAATCCAGTAACGCTTGCTAACCTTCAGGTGTATGTTACTAATTGCCCTTACCGCTGTTTCTACATCAGACCTAATATCACACCATGTTTCTCCAGGATGAACACTGCTGTCATATTCAGATAAATGCTTAGCCAACTCCTCTCTAAATTCATACTTGTCGTCCTCATCTTCTAATTGGGCACACATGGGCCTCATTGCCACCCGTTTCCTGTGACTAGCAAGGAACAGAGATACACGAGTCCACACCATCGCATGGTCGAAGTTTAAACTGGTACTCTAGAAAGAGATGCAATCCCCCATTGATCCTCTCCAACGGTAGTTTATAGCAATATGATCTCTCTGTGTCCATTTTTGGGTTGATGTTAGCGGACGCCACGGGAGACGGTCTCTCATGCCTAAGGTAAGTACTGGCCAAAAACCAGTGATTGTCGGGACAAAATCGTGATGGACGATTTCGTAAATACATTCCAGATGCCTTTCCGATTGGCTCAGCTTCTCTACTTGGGCGTTAAAGTCGCCTGCTACAGTGATTAAATCTCAACGTTTTGGTTTCTGTAGCAAGGTTGACAGCTTTTCACAGAATTCATGCTTTGCATCATCTGAACTGCAGTCGGTAGAGATTACAAATAGGCATATGTTTGTCTCATGATTCTTCCTAGTCCTTACCGATACAGTCAGTCAAACACCTCACAGACGACTGTTGACTAGTATCCAGTAGAGAATCGCACTTTCTGTCCTACAGCTCAATTCAATGCCTACATCAGGGAGTCCACAAGAGCTAGCCACTGAGTTTCCGGATACTCTTAAGGTGAATTTTGAAGATTCACTGCAATTGCCAGATTGAATTCAATTTAATAACGACACTCAGGTCCTATACACGTGTCTCAGAGACACTGCATACAAACATGGCTAGAGATTTCAGAGTTTTGGCGAGTGAGGCTTGCTGTTCGATCGGGCATAGGGTTCGGACGTTGAAAACTCCTTCATGAAACCAATGCCGGGGTCTTAGGAGAGTAGGAATTGGGTTTCGATGGCTTGAACCGTTGACAACGGTTGCACAGGGAGAGGTACAGTAAGGCGTAAGGGTTTAATACTGGTGTCAGAAGGTGGAGGCAAAGGAGGAGACAGATGAGGGAGAAGGTTTATGTTTGATTGAATTTTGTATACTAGTGGAAGGCTGCGGGCGGTTGACACTTTCCAGCTGCCTACACCGTGGAAGGTTATTTCTTCTTAAGGTACCTGAAAGAGAAAAGGATTTGTGTGACCGCAGAGCCCATATGACATCTGCTTGAAGTCTGTTATGCATGGCCTTTTGCTGGTTTTTGTTTTGAGGTTTTGTTGTTCTACCGCCAGATAGAGAAAACCCTTACCGCTGACACCGGGAGACGGTCGGGCATGGAGGAGTGTGCTAATTTCGGGGCCGACCTTTTCTACCCATCCTCTTTTCCGTTGGCAAAGCAGCATCAGCGTGGCACTGCTGGTCATCCTAAATAAACGCCTTACTGCTATCACGTTCTATCCAGCTAGCAGCAGCACAACTTCGTTCTTAGACCCCCATCATAGTGTAGCAATTTACACTACAATAATAACTGCTTTTCATCTTATCACTATCCAACGAACGTTTCTGGCATAGTAGGACCTTGCTTGTTGAGTCATTGTGATATGCAAGTTCGACCACCACGTCAGGGTAGCAGCTATCGGCCAGGAGTTATTCACTGGTAAATTCCTTACTGAGATCAATTAATCATAGAAAGAGATGATTTAACCCTACCTTTGTCAGATATGCCTGACATGCCTCAATATTACCTGTGTTCTAATTATGGATAGTGGCTAGCAATGGAATCCATGATGCGCATTTCGTCTTATCACAATAATACCAAAAACAGTACCCGTTGCACAAGAATTGGCTATTGTGACTCAGCAGTCTAGTGGATGATGCTGTGGCGTTTGGAGCTGTCGGTGCCGAGTTCGAGTTCCTGTGGGAACAATGTCACTCACTGGGAAGCAAGTACATCCAGCTGACTAGTGAGTCCCAAGTAGGACGAAATGTGCATCCCAGATCCCACTTCTAGCCACTATCTATCATTACTATTTACTCTATTGTTGACAGAACCTATTCCGCATATTAACTACATTTCAGTTTAAATGCTGCCAAATATCCTATTATATTTTTTGGATTTTACCAGAGTAAACTTCACCTTAAAAACATTGAGGAAATTTATTTGTCCCCTTGCATCCGTCAAAAGGTACTGTTAAAGTATTTGACAAATGGGTGTTCTTTGCAAGTGTTTATCTCTTCTCTTTCAAAGGGAAGAGAACTTTGTTTCATTGAATTAGGTAACCAATGTTCAACTACTACGTTATGAGTTTCATAACTATTGACCTACCATAGTTTGGTCAGTTCGGGGTATTATTCATTGCGTAGTGCACAAAGTTATATATAGTTATTGAATTCTACTTTATACTCGCGTAATATTCACTATTATTTTGAACTTTTTCTAATAAGGTTGTATCGAAATGTAGATACCCTGTTTTATGTTAAGGGTAACTTCTTTTGTAAACTTTGCTTTAACAGAGAAATAGCTAAGTTAATATTCTACACAAGTTCAATTTTCTCTGGGGGGTCCCGTGATTTTAATTTAATTGTTATTTCTTGTACATAAATAAGTTCAATTAGTCTGATAATTTGTCATGTACAACAGTGATAGAAAATCCTACTTCAGCTTCGTACTGTTTCTCATTCATTAGTAAAATGTAATTATGAATTCCAGGAAACGTGTACTGTTTATTTGTGACAGTCATATACTTAATGCCAGTTATATTAATGCAAGCGATCAGTTATTCTGAAGTGATTAGTATTTGGTTAATTGAGTGTAAGATATAATTTCGTGTACAAATTGTTTACCGAAAAGGTCACCAACTCAACAGTCTAATTTTAAGTGGTGACTAAAATGTTGATTAAGAAGCATGGTATTATTCTGACTGATATACATAGAAGTGGACTGTAACATTGGTTGTTATGTGCCACCTACTCCAAAAAATATTCCATTTAAAAACAGAAAATTTTAAATATACTACTAAGCAATCATTTTTAGTTAGAGTGGTTATGGCAAAAATACTTGTCAACAGTTTGTTTTGTTTGTTTGTTTGTTTTTTTTGTAGGAGCCCATATTGTTCATAATTCGGAAACAACAGCGTTTATCACCTACTCAAATCACACCATTGGCTTATTACTACGTGATTAATGGAACGGTACTTCAAGCTCCAGATCTTGCCACTCTCTTGAATTCTCGTCTACTAACAACAGTTGTTGGCTTAAAGAAAGTAATCCAGGTAATATTTTAGATTCAGTTAACATAGTTGCTTCTCCTACCACCATCTTCATTGGTGATTTTTGTAATTGTTTTGTATCCATTTGATGAAGGCTGAAGACTGAATACCATGTGTTTGCAAAATCAGGGCTCATTATATGACAATTCAACAAAAAGTTTACAAGTTCGGTTAAATATGCAAAAAGTTGGCTTATCTTTCTTTTTCTATACTTGGAGGTTCATTATTTCAGATATTTTCTGCTAAAAGTAGTTACATACAGAAATGAGTCATTTCATCATCATCATCATTATCAACATAGGACCAGGCATTACTGCGTAACGGTCCGAGTTGCCACACCTCATATCAGCACATCAAGTAAAAAGGTAGTGAGGTGAAGGATGAAGATAAGTGAATGCAGTCAAAAGAAATACAAAGTACGAGAAGAAAGGAAAGAGGAGTGACAAAATAGTGAGATTCGGTATAGCGTTGTTAAGATGAGGATAATGTGTGTATACATCTGCGCCACTGACTAATGAGTCATTTATGATAGGACAAAGCAAACACTGGTTCAGTACCACTTGAAAGTTATTTCTAATTGTTGATGTTGTTTGTCAAACCAATTTTTAATCCCTAACTGATAAGGGTTTCGTACCGTTATTGATAAAAACGGCCTTACTCTGTGATTGTTTATGAGAACTCCAAGAAAGTATATATCGATGATTTCTTTCCAAATAGGGTTGGCATGTCCCCAATCAATCGATATCTGTTGTCTTGAATAGTTAAAAATATGCGTAAAGGACATGTGTTTGAGCTAAGCTAATAACTGCACTTGTATACTACTATTCATCCACCCTGGTATTAAGTTTGGTTGGCGAATGGTAAAACTGAAACTCGCTTCGTCTGCATCTCACCATTACTTCCTAGCATTATCAATATTCACTTTTACAATATTTCTTACCTTTTAGAGTGATGAGCCGTATCTTCAAGATAGTATCCTAGGTTTCTTTTAATTCTAATGACAGTTTTAATTTCTCCACTGTTATGCTAAACCTTATGTCAAATCAAGCTGATATTTGAGACTACGAATGCAAGTTGTATCTTCCAGACACATGAGATTCAACTTTAAGGAGGAATCGACAAATCATGGTGAAACCGGGCACAACAGTGTATCGGTTCCAATTATTACACTTCACACCACCATACAAGTGAAATGTGGGTAGAAAAAGTGATATTAAGGTCACCAAATGTATATGAGGTAGGCGGAAAACATGTCCAAGCCATCTCGGTCTGTGAAGGTTCGCAACTTCATTGAATGATTTGCCTTCCTTTCCTGTTACTTTACGCCTAACTCCACCATTGCTTACATGGTAATTCCACCATACGGAAGTAATGCTAGGAAGACATGTGTAGCCAAAGATCTGTAACCTCTTCATATCTCACACAGTACACTCATCCCTTGATAGGTACTCGGATATCTCGTGAGCGTCAGAGATGATGTAAGCTGAAAAATCCCGAATAGTCGTGTTTAGTATTCGAGCCAAGATTTCGTCAGCAATCAATCCTCTCACCTGTAATTATTCAAGTTATATCCAAACAATTTGGTGACAAACATCCTTCCTCTGTGTCACTGAAGACTCTATGAACGATTCCTATGGCCTTGGTGCACTTCTCGACTTAATTTTAATAAACAGTTATCGACAAACTGTTTGTTAAACAATGTAGTAAGGATAATTTCCAGTGTTCAGTTTATTTTAAGTATTCACTTGAATACTGATTAACTGAAGTCAAGAACATGCAAAGGATAAGTTGTGATCTAAGTAGCCTACCCCTAAAAACTTGCAAATGTAATCGAACCATATGACGTTAATCGATAACTAGGTATCCTGTAAAACGTGGAAAGTATATTGACAATGATTTCGTAGTCCTAATCTAATTAGCTATTTGTGATGAACGTTTAAGGTCTTTCTTTTTTAGCTAGAACTAGTTCCAATTAGAGATATTGTTCGACTTAGTTACTGCCTAACGATGGACATAAACAGTTACTACAGTTACTACTAGATGGTATCGATGAAAGATGATTGGGTTTTTTTTGAAGTGTTTGTGTAAACTTCAAACACAAATTAGTATCCATCTACATGGTTTTGAAAAGTCTTCAACGTAAATGAACTATAAAATTCAATCTTTTAAACATTCAGGAAAAGTTCAATAATATTTGATATGTTGTAATATACTCTTACCAGATGTAAGATGGCTCTCAAGGATAGGTGTACAGTGATACCAAGTTTACCGATATAGAATGAGTAGTTGATTGAACTAAACATCATATTAATAGTTTTATTATGGTTGGTGTTAGACGAGATCTTCACACATGTACAACGAAGTCGATTGTCATTGATCTTTCTACTCTAAGCTAGGTTGGTAAGATATGTGAACGTGTAATATGAAACTGTACACTATTCTATTATACTCTCTTCTTAGGTATAGTTGTGGAATATAGTCGTTCAACATAATTAACACGAAGCCTTTTGCTTTCCTACTTCAAACAAATACACTTAGTCCAATGGGATATTAAAGAAAATGCTACACAAGATGAAATAATAATAATAATCCATCCATCCAAATCAACATAGGACCAGGCATTACTGCGTAACGGTCCGAGTTGCCACACCTCATATCAGTACATCAAGTAAAAAGGAAGTGAAGTGGAAGGTGAGGAAAAGAAAATTCAGTCAAAAGAAATACAAAGTACTAAAAGAGAGAAGGGAAAATGAGAAAATGGTGAGATTCGATAATCGTCGTTAAGATGAGGATAATGTGTGTAAACATCTGCACCACTGACATCGGTTCTGAACCATATCACCTAGAGTCAGTCTCCAACCACTGGTTCCTCTTGTCCCGTGGACCCCAACCACCTAGTCCGCATCGCCCCACATGGCTCAAACCAACAGTCAGAGACTCCATACATTAGTGCCATGTTTTAGTCTGGCCACCTCAGGCCTTTTTCCAGCTTGGGCCTACTTCAGTCAACATTGTGTGACGAGTAGACGGCGACTAGGCATACATAGTACATGTCCCAACCAGCTATCTCAGTCAATGAAGGTTCACAACCTCGTCAACTGACTTACCTATCCTCCCTAAAACTCTATACCTGACTTCTGCATTACTCACGTGGTGACACCATGGAATACGGCCTATACTACGAAGGCAACGGTGGTCAAACACCTGAAGCCTTCTCATGTCTTAACAATGATAATAATATTTGATTATTATTGTAAGGGGAATAATCAAAACAGAAGTACAACCAAAGTCCGGTATTTTAAAGCTTATTTAACTACTTGTTTGGAGTATGGGGGCAAAATACAGCTAAATAGTCTCTAACTTTTACTCCTAGTGACGTCTGATACCATCTCAATCCTATGAACCACATGGTTGCCTGCTCCTATGCTAGCTAAATATTCCACCGTAAGTTAACTCAGCACAACTATTTTTCATTCCACTTCATAATTTACCATAAAACGACTTCATTAACTGAATTTCAATTTCAACCATACATAAGCATATGTGACCAAACCTCAGCATTGTGTACGTGGTGTTGCTTTCAAATGTTTGAAGTATTATTAAGATAGTGCCGACTGTACAAAGAGTTACTGAATGTCTTCAACACAGTGAGTTTAAGTGTTGCAAACATAAAGCAGAACTCTTCTTACTAAGGTCATGTAACTGTCTTTTACAATAAAATGACTGTTAGCATTATGTCAAAGGTGGTTGGAGTTGACAATTTTTACTGCGATTTTTCATATTTAAAGATAATTCCATTTGTCATGTGGATATAACTACCTAAACACATGGACTTGTCGACTACTTCCAACAGTACATTACATCAAGGTCGAATACAAACACAAACTGTAGTCAGTTTTTAACTTCTCAGTTAGATACTACAAGGTATTTATCATACTTATTCATGTTCATCACCAGCTAATTAAGTGCACTCTCTTTGGGGTATACTATCACATTGAAACAAAATCGACTACAAATTCATTGTTGTAAACCCTTTATCTAGATAAAACTAACAAAAGATTGCGTAATCAGTTCATTTCAGGTACGATAATGAAATCCGGTTGCTTTAGATATCAATAAACTTTCGAGAGATATCCTTCTTTAACGAACTATTGTAGATTGTAATGTGTATAGACAATTAAAGGTAATTATGGTGTCAAGAAACGCATAGGAAAACGCTGCACTGATTAAAAAATAGATTATGATATGTGCATACCTACAGTTGAGGATCTTCACTGTCCAACTCTGCATTCAAACCCTCAGATGGCATCATGACATCCGTTTACCCTGCTTAGTTGAGAAAGTCATTTGATTGAATATGAAACTCATACATGGTTAAGTCTTAAATGCATTCCATCGGATTATATATGGAAGTTATGGAAAACTGCTGTTTCCACTACCCTTTACTTATTAACTTGATTGAACATTCAAGTTTGACACCGTAGATAACCAGTCAGACAGATTATCGTCAAACCTGATATAAAATTGCCTCACTTCAAGTTGCCACACATTACATCAGAATGGAGGGAGATAGAGTATAAATAAGATGATGGTTAGTAAAATTATTTCGCACTTCGAAAATAAGGAAGAGTAATTACACCTGGGCCATTTTGAGCAACGTCTCTAAAAGTCTCCAATCATTGATTCCTGTTATTCAAGAATCCTAGCCAGGTGGCTCAAACCCTCCATACAGGGCTCAAGCTGACCTTAAAAGACCTGATCAACTGATGCGTACGCCTTGGTTTAGCTACAATTAACCTTCTAAGAGAATCTGAATTTTTCTAAAATCGCATATCAAAACAGATGATGACTCGGCATGATGCACACCAGTCGATGAAGGTTTACAACTTCGTCGACTGACTCGCTTTCCTTTTCTAGGACTCTGTGCCCAGCCTTAATATTACTCTAATGATGATGATTCCATTACATGTGAAAAGTACTGAGTTTAACAACACGTAAAACTTAAAATGGGGATCCATTCAGGTAGAAAAGCTTCAACCCTGATGCTCAGTACAAGACTAACAACGGGAATAGTAGACATCACTCTTCTAGTGCTCCTGAATAAGCGGACATAACGTTTAATTTTTGAGCTGAGAAATGGGAAGCTTATTCGTAACACTTCACTGTAACTTTGTGTGGGGGGAGAGGGAGGTTAAGATGCGGTACAGAACCAAGAAAAAATTTTTTGTTTTAGCTAAATCTTTGTTTTTTAGACTGCATCAATTTGCAAAGACTGATTTTGGCAAGGTCGAACTAAATAGATCATTTTAAAATGACCGGGTAAGATATCACTATTTTTTTAAAATTCCAGCTGTTCATGGCTTGTGGTAATCGATGCGTAGAACATAACCGAAGTAGGTCGACTGTATAATTGTGTCAGTCACTAGCATAACTCGGAAAGGGATGTTCGATATGGAGATTGTTAGTTTACTATTCATCTACATGTAATAGACATTATGAAAAAATGCCAGTTATCAAATATCAATAGGACTTACATTTTGATTCACAGTGGCTGTTTTACAGTCATACGGAAAGACTGAATGAAAACATGTGCTGTAGACTTGAGCATTAAACTCTCCAAAACCATATTGTGTACTTGGATCCTATTTCACCGAAAATAGTTTGAGCAACCGATTAATGTCGTCAATTATCACAATGAATATGGCTTACAGAAAAGTTCACGAAGCTTTAGGTAGCTATGTAGACATACTTATTCCCACCATGCTGAAGCACAGTATTGACTAAACCCTTCAGTAATACCACATACAGATATTAGCACACAACTTTTTATCCTTAAAGTAATTTTCTAAGCGATTTATCTGCTAAAACCAATATAACCATCCATTTCTGTAACACTGAATATGAAACCGCTTTAGATTATTTTGTAGAAATCGGTGAAGATAAAGAACAAAACTTACTCAGTAACCTTGTACATATTCTTACAATAGGCAATGAGTCATACTTATTATGTGAGGGTTAGTGATAGTACTTGGCTGCCCAAACCTCGATAGACTGAGCGGGGCTCGAACTCATGACCCAATGGTAGGAAGTCATTTCTCTAAACCAATGATCCCCAGTCTCACCGATGAAGATTGAAATCAGTATCTCTTATAATGTATAGTTTAAAGCCATTTCAAGTTGTTGCTTTCTTTATCTAGAGTTCAGATGTTCAAGACTGATTACTGACTCAGCAAAAAAATACGGTGTCATTATATATGGTATTTCACTGTTGAAGTATATCTCTGGACTTATGAAATGTTTATTCTTTCAATACTAATGCATAACTTATGAATTGATAATTATAAAACTTATACATTTGTAGATGTTAGTTCCTTGTGCTCGATATCATCCTTCAGATGGTTCATATTCATGGGACGATCCAAATGTCTTACTTGGATGTAATACAGAGTTGGATCAAAATTATGAAAAACTTCAGTCAATTTCAAATACTGAAAGAGATCAGTCAAAAATAGCAAATATATTTCAGGTTCAAAGAACAGATGCTCTACTTACTGAGTGGATGAATCGTTTTCCTGCTCCATCAGCAGTTTTGTTCAGAATCTGGTTAATTTGGGACAGACATCATCTTCACTCACAACTACCACCTCTTCAATTCCTTCTTCTGTAGGTAATGTGAGTGGAATGGCTTCTGTTTCATCAGCTCAAACTGTAAGATATTTTTAAAAATCTAGTTATGTGATTAATTTAATCGCCTATTATATTCTAGTATTCTATTTCAGGCCCTCGAGTGGAATCCCCATGGGAAGCGACGAGCTGGACGTCCGAGGGTGACATGGAGGGATCGTGCGAGGAGGAAATGAGAGCTTCTGGGCTGTCGTGGAGCGAGGTTCAAAAGTTCGCAGAGAACAGAGTGCACTGGAGACGTGCTACTGAAGCCCTATGTTCCATTAGGAACCCAAGGGACTAATAATAATAATAATGCATTTCATTTAAAGGAACGTATTAATTTTGATGTTATGCTATGCTCCTAGATTTTAGCCTATGTATAATGGGTTAGAGGATGTTTTTACTAATCGTATGAGAACATAAACCTCTACCACAATTACTTTTTTGATGAATATGACATTCTTTGCCTATTCCATTACAGGTTGACATTCTTTTGGTATCTTATATATCACCTGAGACCTTATATTTTTAGGGATAGATGATATGCAGCACTGTTTTTTCTGAACAAAAAGATAATTTGGCATTCATAATGGACTGACATCAATTGGAGGAACATTAGAAATCTGGGAGCACTGCACACAGCTTTTTCGACCTAGTATGGGACTCCTCAGAAGTGTGCACTCATTGCCCCCCCCTTGAGGTTCTGTGGCCTGTAAGTTACCATTGAGCCACTAGGTCAGAATCCAATGGTCCATATTTCTAACTTCCGTCAGTTCATGATATAGCGCGACCATCACCCAATGTCATCGTTGAGTATTTTTCCTCACGATCACCAAGTTTACCCGAGACAGTTTTGTCCATCGAGTTAACACAGAAACAGAAAGTTGTGTAGCATGAAACAGCTTACATAAGCTAAGTATCTACTTCAACTACTCTAATGGTTGTTGAATACACAGTTGAAGAATATTCTTTCATATTGATTTCTGAGGTTTTCAAGTTGATCTCAGCGTCACTAGCAAGTATCAGAATGTCTTGTAAATCTATACTAGCAGGAGATATTACAATATCTACTAGATTTAAGCATATGATATTATTTTACTGGGCTAGACAGAATCTACTGCATTTAGATCCCTGGATAAAACTTAGACAAAGCAAAAAGAATCAAATTTGCAGGATAAAATGGTATCCTCACTTTATTTCACAAATACTCCTCAGTTAAATACAGTCTATAAGTACAATGTAACTTTTTGTTGGTGCACTTATATCCTCCGTTGTTGTATTTTACTGGGTCGAATTGTCCGACCTCTAATTGGCATATGACCTCTTATGTGGATGCCTCGATATTGCCTGAATGTTTATTACGGTAATTTACTTGTTATGGCTAGTAGAAGAATCCAGGACACGCTTATCGTTCCATTTGAGACTCGTCGGATGGATGTACCTCTACTCCAGTGAGTGGTGTTGTTCCCACTGAGATTCGAATCTCGTATTTATCCTTCAAATGTCAGGGCGTTATCCACTAGGTCATTGAGGCAAGTAAATTACCATGCTTAGCTTAGCATTCAGGTAATATCGAGGCATCCGAATAAGAGCATGTATCCCAAAGACGAACAATACGATGCAGTAAAACAACAGAAAATTACAAGTACATCAGCAAAAAGTTATAACTGATACCCATTGTTCAAGAGGTGGGCTATCGTGCCTCAGTGGCCTGGTGGATAACCCCTGACGTTTGAAGTGATAGGTACGGGGTTCGAGCCTCGCTGGGAACAACATTACTCCGTACTGGGGTGCAAGTACATCCAGCCAACGAGTGAGTCCCAAACTGAACGAAACACACATCCTGGATTCTTCTGCTAACCACAACCAAGTAAATTACCGTCAAAGTACATTAGTTATTAGAACATAAAATATTTCAAACATGGGAATTCAATTATTTTAAGTTGCACAACATAATGATTGATAACCCATATGACATGTCGAAGAGTCAGTTATACAGAGGTAAGAAATGTAAGAAAGGAAAAATATACACAAAATGAACATGAGACAGGATTAAAGTATATTTACCAAGGTAGTGAGAGATTAACCACACACTCCTTTTGTGTTCAAAGGTCAAGTTGAAAGCGTTTTGTTGCGATTGCTTCTGCGAAGCATAATGGTCCACACCTTTTCTGTACTTTTATTATCTTAAAAATACTCGAGGTTTCAACCTAATATCCTGTTTTTACGACGTGTCTAGCAACTACACCGATTAGATTTCACTTCCTCTCAAGCTCAGTGAACCGAATGGATGCCCTCCTCTCAATCCTTTCAATGTACTTGCTACCATAAGTGCACGTTAATTCATAAATACAATTGGAGGGTAACATGAGCAGGGTAATTACATAATTTTTACTGGTTCAGCGATTATATGGTATTATATACTGATACAATTTAAGCTGCAAGGAAGCTCATTCTCAGTGCTCTTTTGATTCTTGTGTCTTTTCTCCTAGATATTGCATCTCTCTTGGATGTAAAGTGTACAAAAACCTTCTTCTTTTCCACTATTTTTTTTTCATACTTCATAATAAATCTCTTAGGATATTCATTTTCTCGATGACACTTCTCAGTAATGCTTAGTTCGTCCTCTGACTTATCCGCAGACATAATTTTGTAGCTCTGTTGTAGTGTTCTGATTAAATCATATTCATAGCTGAAAGGACAGAAACTGTTATAGTTAGGATATTGTTCAGTCCACGTATCTTTTCTGTGAATGGTCTTTTCTATGGTATCATCAATTCTTCTTCTCACGTTGAAGTCCAAAAAAACCGAACTCATTGTTATGTTCATATTCCTTCTTAAATTAATGTTAGGATAAGCCTTATTGAGCCTGTCAAACAACTCACTTGCATGTTTAATATCACTGCAAACAACAAAGGTGTCATCAATGTACCTGTGATAATAGGCTGTTTATCTGATGACTGAACTCAGATGCGTTTGTTCAAGATAACCCATGAAGATATCTGCTAGGGCAGGTAGTAGATCAATTTGTTGACAGATTGTATCAATCATTCGACTCACATCGTATGTGGTTATCTGAAACGTCGACGTGATCTATTTCGTGACGAAATTCTAATATATCTTTGAAACTATGGATCTCCAAATTACCCCTGGGATTTCCCCAGCTTGTGACATAGCGGATTAATCATTTATAGTATAGGCCTAAAGGTACAATAGATTTATGAATGAGTAAACTAAACATGAATGGGAGATATGAACCGGGTTGGACAGGGTCATGAAAGCGCACTGCTGAAGAATCCTATACTGGGACGAAACAGCTGTCCACTGCTCTCAGGTTTCTAATGTTCTTCCAACTAACGTCAGTCCATGATGAATACCAACTTGAAAAATCACTAAATCCTCACAACACTCCCAAGTTGAATTGTTCTAGTGCTCATTGGTGACTAGCTTGGAGAGGTGATTCCTGAAGTTCCAATGAGGAGTCGTGACCAGTGGGCCGACCAAGTCGAAAATGAGGACAGTTAATCAACGACGATATTGGATGTAGGTCGCGCTATGTCGTGAACTGACAAGTAGGAAATGTGGACCATTGGATTGCGACCCAGTAGCTCAATGATAACGTGGTGGCCATGGAACCTAAAGCCCCTAGGTGCGATCTCGGGTTGGGCGGAGTCATAGGTGCGCGCTGCTGAGGAGTCCTATACTATTCGGACGAAGCAGCTGTCCAGTGCTCCCATGTTTCCAATATTCCTCAACTGATGTCAGTCGATGATGAATTCCAACCCAAATCAGTTAATAAACCTCACAAACCTCCAAATAGAATTGAGATATATGTATTGGACGATTCAATGTGTGATTTTGTGATGTGACGGAGATTCTTATGAGAAGAAGACGAAAGCTTAGCTATTTGGATAAATGTAAACAACTAACATGGGAAACACTCAGTATCCAGACATTACTCATAGAAATGAACCTTCGTAGGTTCTGTAGCTATTCTGCTGCAACGTAAAACCACTGCACGATCCAGTCACTTAATTGTGCAAGGAGGCACCTCTTCAAGAAGTTCATCCATTTAGATCCCTGATAAATTCTAACAAAGCAACTAGGACGAAATAAATTCGCAAAATAAACTATTTTATTTCACGAATACTCCTCAGATGCATACAGTCTAACAAGTACAATGGCTACTAAATTATGTAGTCAATAGTTACGGTGGCAGAACAGTTGCACAGTTAACTGTAAATTCTGCATTCTTCAGCGGAATTTCTGTTTTCTTTCATTATAGATTGGAAAGGAGGAAAATCTTCAGACCAGTTCTAATTCTCCTGCTAAACTGCATTCAAGGTTGCCAACGTTACCAGGTGTTTCTGTTGTCCCTGGACCTTTACCAAGTACATCTTCACAATCATCACTCCTTACAGATAAAAAACCTCGTATTTAACATTTACTATTCAATGTAGTTACAATGTACACAACTATATTTGAAATGAATATTTTGTATTACTATTTATTGATATGCTTGCGGTTCTACGTTATTTTACTGGATCGAATCGTTCGACCTCTACGTTTTATAGTAATGATGGATAGTGGCTAGTAATGGAATCCAGGATGCACGCTTCGTCCTATTTGGAACTCATCAGCTGGATGTACCTGCCTCCCAGTGTGTGATGTTGTTCCCACCGAGATTCGAACTCAGGACCGATTGCTTCAAATATCAGAGCGTTATCCTGTACACCACCGAGTCATGATAGCCACTTCTTGTGCGGCGGGTGTAGTTTTTAGTGTTATTGCTTGTATTATACTGTCATTAATTGGACCTAATTGATCCATCTCCATTGGCATATGGGCTCCTATGCGGATGCCTCAATACTACCTGTGTTCTAATTATGGATAGTGGCTAGTAGTGGAGTCCAGGATGCACATTTCGTCCTATCACAATAATACCAAAAACAGTACCCTTTGTACAAGAACCGGCTATCGTGACCTAGTGGATGACGCTGTCGGTGTCGAGTTCGAATCCTTGTGGGAACAGTGTCACTCACTTGGAGGCAAGCACATCCAGCTGACTGGTGAGTCCCAAGTAGGACGAAGTGCGCATCCTAGATTACACTACTAAGAACACAGGTAATATCGAGGCATCTGCATAGGAGCCCATATTCCAATACAGACTTATCTATTTCCTATGTTTAAATTTATTATTTAACCATTCAGTGGAGCAAGTCAAAGAGATAGTAGAAATACTGTGTCACTTTAGTCACATATTCAAATGTTTTCTGTCTCTACAGATTCACTAATCTCTGAGACTATCTTGGGTAGTACAATATAATTGATAAAGGCTTAGTTGTTTGAAGATAATTTGCTTTGACAGTTATATTTTTATTGCTTAACAAGATTTTATTCTCATAATCAACTGGTTTTTGAGTTAAGATAGATAACTACTACGCATGTTCCGTTGAAGTATCTAGAGTATTCAGTAGTGTTGGTACTTATTATTCAATATTTATCTATTAATTTTCAACGATTTTGTACTGATTAGTGTAAGGTACACTATCTGAATGATATAATAATGCCAAACAGATTTTGAAATTAGCACTTATGAATCATCATCGCTCAGCATATCTGTTGAATCAGTGTCACTCTTATAAAAAGTGAGCTTTAGAATAATCCTGATCAATATGTATTTGATCTCTCTACGATTGATCTTTCAGCTATTCAACTACAAGCTTTATCTTTGAGTTTAGACTTCTATAGTCAACAGATTTATCACTGAAATGCAATTTATAAATTTGATTTTGTCCCTGCATCTCCATATGCTGTTGAACATTTCAAACCCACTGTTCTTGACTATTGCCGTCATATCTCACCAATTAATAACTAATCTGTAATCGTAATGATGGGCAATGGCTAGCAGTGGAATCCAGAATGTGCATTTCGTCCTATTTGGGACTCGTCAGCTGGATGTACCTGCCTCCCAGTGTGTGATGTTGTTCTCACCGGGACTCGGAATCATTTATTGACTGCAGATCACATACAACAGCTCAGATTATCTTAAAGTAACAGTAGTATTATCATGAGTCTCCTTAGTTATGGACTTATTTTCTTAATCAACTGTCAGAAATGCATCGCTAAACTCTTAGTGGTTCTCTCTGATCAGATGAAGTTTGCTAAGCCTGAAGGGAAAACCAGAAAGACACAACAATCTGAGAACTAACTTACAGGTGTCTTTAAGTAAATAAAGGACAACTCTACAATATCCTTTGATTTATACAAAAGCATCCAGTAGGTTGGTTTATAATTCTATGGATCAGCCATAATAAAGAAAGCAGCATTACCTCTTCGCTAGATATTTCTGGTTCTCCTTATCATCAAATGCTTAGTGGCTGCTAGCTGATATACTCAAACCTGTTAGTAGGCGAGTATCCAACTCTTTTTGTCCGTGATATATTTAAACTTATTGAAGATATTAAAGATCTTAGTGCTTTTGGTAGTCATGTTTTCACCAGAAGGTACTTCATTGTTCACAAGTGTGCTACTCACAAAAACTGACTGCCATATATATATCAATACATTGATATGCTTCATTTAGACTTAAAACTACTGACTAGCTAATATGAAAGAGTTCTTTTTAAAGGATACATTCAGTGTTCAATTTAGTCTCAAAACTACTGAACTAGATGATATTCTTCTTTCATTCAGCCTTCAACTTCATATTCGACAAGTAGCTGAAATAAGCCATCCATATGCAGGAAAGTAGTAATATTAAATGAACAACTGACTAATGTTTATAGGTAGGTAATTATAACAACAGAAAATGAAATTATATTCATGGTGTTATATTGGTCTTGGTGACTAACAGAGGAGTCCACGACATGTGCTTCGTCCTATTTCGGACTCGTCAACTGGGTTCCATTTTGACCCCATTGAGTGATATCCCCACTGGGGATCGAAACCGGTGTCCTTCGCTTCAAATGCTAGAGCTCTGTTTAGTAGGCCAGTGAGGTATAATGGCCACCTCTTGTGCAAAGGGGATCAATTGTTGTAATGATACTTGTAATTTCCTGATGCTATATAAGGGAGAATTGCTCGACCTCTGTTGCGAAATGGGCTCCTGTGCAGATGTCTCGATACTCCCGGATACTCATGGTGTTATATTGACCTTAGTGACTAGCAGAGGAATCCAGGACGCGCATTTCGTTCTGTTTGGGACTCACTAATCAGCTGGATATACCTACGCCGCAGTGCCCAGTGATGATGTTTCCACAGAGGCCCGAATCCAGTATATTCACTTTCTCCATTACCAAATAAGAAATTTTTGTAGTTAAGATTGTGTAGATACAAAACTGTTTTCAAGAAGAAGGTTTGTTAAAAATGGCCGTTTTGTTGATGAAAATGCCGGGCAGATATATACCACATCAGTCACTTAATTCCCAAGACAACTTTATTTTTGATCCTAGAATTCAAAGATGACCAAGCATCAGATGTACTTAAGAATCGTTTTCCTGGGTCAATCAATTGAATGGCCCTGGCAACAAAACTTTAATAGTGGAGTGGAGAATATTTGTAACTCGGGTGGATGGTCTTGGTTGTATTGTGTTCTCTAACCTCAGTATGAAGTTAGTGCTGATGACATCTAGAAAGACGATGAAAGCTTCACGATTAAACAACCCAGCTCAGAGAAAACAATACAACCAGAACTTTAATACTGTCTTAGCAACCAAAAACGTTTCTTCCCTCGTCTTCCTGCTTCTATGTGCATTTACCAGTTCATCTGCTCTTGTGAAGCAAAATACACCAACCGTAGCCATGGAATGCTTTGTGCATACACAAGAACACTTTCCAGCTTGTTATGCAAAAGAAAGAAGACTGTTAGAAGTTCTATTCTAGCGCATTTGATCGATTTCCTTCACTGATAATCCAGATAGTGACTCTAAACTTCTTTGACGAGTGTTTTCTTCGTTTCTAAAACAGCGTCGAACTTGGTTATTCATAAACTAAACTTTAGTATTTGTGTGCAAAAGAAGTATGTACAGTCACTGTTTTACCTTAGTCATAACATTTCACCCGAGTATTTCTTCCTTTGTTAACCTAATCTTTGAATCCTTTCCTATCACTATTATTCTTCTTATTACTCCTTCCACTCTGAATAGTTTCTGATGTCACTTCACTTATTGTGTTAGAGAAGAAGTTCGCTTTCTTTTAATCAACATGTCTCATCTTATCATACTTTATTATCTTTTAATTCTAAACCCCTTTCTCAGTTATATACATGGTATGAACTACTTGTTACGTAATGATGGATCGTGCCTAGCAGTGGAATCCAGAATGCGCATTTCGTCCTGTTTGGGACTCACTGACCAGCTGGATGTACCTGCTCCCCAGTGAGTGATATTGTCCCCATCGGGATTCGTACCCGGGAGCGACTGCTCCAAACGCCAGGACGTTAACCACCACACCACCGAGCCATGACAGCCACTTCTTGTGCGACGGGTACATCCAGCTGACGAGTCCCAAATAGGACGAAATGCTCATTCTGGATTCCACTGCTAGCCACGATCCATCATTAGTATAATTAGAATGCAGGCAATATCGAGGCTTCCGCGCAGGAGCCCATATGCCAATAGAGACCGGTCAATTCAGTCCAAGCAACGATGGTATGATATAAAAACAATTATACTATTTATTACATAATCTACTTTGTTATGTGTATCAGTAAAAAGTTTGTCCATTGTGGAACGGATTAATGTATTACTAGTAAATCTTTGAGTTATTATTTTTTCTCATTTTGGTCACATTCCACCGTGATCATATCAACAGTTGGAATTTTTTAGCAAAATAAAAACTTTTCATTAAAAAATTTATTTTATTATCGTTCACATTTTAGCTACTCCTGTAACCACAAGTAGTTTTTTCGTTACGATCCATATTTTGAATCCCCTCATGGGGTTGTCAAATATATACAAGATGTATATCTGTAAAATAAGCTTGGTAAAAATTTCGCTTCGCTGAATATCTAGTCTTTATGGTATGAAATATCTTTATTGCTCCAGTTGTGCTACTTACTATTGGTGAGTAGTATGATTACAAATATCTATTTTATTCAATTTTCAGGTTGGTATCCATCGTAAACTGACATCAGTTGGAGGAACAAAGGAAACCTGGGAGCAGTGGACAGCTATTTCGTCCTAGTATGGGACTCCTCAGCAGTTAGAATTCACTTATTTTTAATGAAACGTATCGTCAGTATTTAACTGTCTAGCGTTTGTGTAGAATAACAAGGTTGTGAAAATGTATTTTTCTAGTGATTATTAATGGAAATTGGCTGAAACTGTAGTTATCTCAAACAAATTTTAAGAAGTTTGAAGTAGTTAAGAGCTTTTGTTTGTTGATACTTGTAAATTTCCTCTGGTATGCTGGGTAGAATTGCTCGACGTCTGTTAGCAGATGGGTTCCTATGCGCAGACGCCTTGATACTACCGGGTTATTGATTACATTGTAGTCTACTGTGT